ATAATAATAATAATAATAATAATAATAATAATAATAATAATAATAATAGAATAGGACATAAAGATGAAATGAAATGCCAATATGTTGTATTAAATCTTGATATATTTTATGATGAAGGACGTTTAAACAATTATAGTCAAATGAAAAAGGAGGTACGATGATGGTAACATGTATAAATATCTGAGTTAAAATACTTGAGTTAATATGAATTGTTTGTTGACTGTGGAAGAGATGCACGAAAATCTTTTTGTAACCAGCTGATACACTTTCTACAGTATGTAAAGAAGGATGTGTTGTGTTTGCTTTGAAAATAAAAAAAAACATTTAAAAAAAATGAAAACCGGCCGCAATTGGCCCCTGGGCCAGACTTTGGACATTCCTGGCTTACACCATGTATTCTGAGAGAAATGGGGAAAAGAGCTAACCAGTCAATGGGCATGTATGAGATGCCCAGATGAGAATATTTTCTATTGCCAAAATCTTCTAAGTGGGTAGTTCTGGGGCTAGTGCTTTGCTGGGAGAACAAGACTGATTATTTTTAGTGAAGCAATTGGTAGATGTGGGGGGCATTAGGGTCCATCTTTGGCACAGTGAGTATAGCACTCAGGAATTGGGTCTTCTAGTAAATGTCTTTGCCATTCTGATAATATCTGAAGACAAGCAGGTAGAGGAGGGCATTGGCATTGTTCTATGACTAAACTCATCTGGCTTTATTTAAGTCTACATAAACATTTTTTGGATGGAAGCTTGAAATAACTTGAAGGACTCTGAAGCTCAGCCCTTTTCATTCTGTTTTGAAATGAAATGGAGCATCTGAGTGTCCTGCCTGATCATGGAGAATCCCTTAACATAATCCCAACATCACTTCAGTATCTATGGCTATACCACAATGGTAGTCTCATAGAAATTTGTCAAAGTAAAGTAAGTGTAAGTTTAAATGGAAAGCTTTTGCAATCACTGTCTTGATTTATTTCGTGGGAACCAAACTTCCTAACTGGAAAAGTGT